CCACTACGGGAGGGGCTGTTGAGGACTTGTGGGAGGAGCTGTTGATGACGCCACACGTGCGACCCACTGGCGGTGGATAAACAGGAAACAGCTGATAGCAGGAATTAGCGAGCAGCTAGTAGCAAGAGGGAAACGCAAACCTGACAGACACTGTAAAGATGAGCAACTGGGGAGACAAAGAATTGAGCGCCCTCCTTGCCCTCGCAAATGAAGAGGCCATTAACCATCAGATGACAGGGACAGTGAAGAACGGGACGACTTACGAGAGAATCGCCGAAGGACTGACTAGCCACGGCTTCCCTCCCACGTCACTGTTTAGCATTGTTACTTGCTCACGCCCCCCATTGCCCCGAAAAAGACGCATTCTGTATAAGTAGGTAGGCGGCATTTTGCTGCACTCCCCGATTTTGTTTTTATACTGCCAATGCTGAAAGAAGACTGATTGGGCTTTCCTGCAAATTTGCACAATTCCTCGATGCCAACATCTATTCTGGCTGCTGCAACCCAGCTGCCAGAATAGATGTTGGCATCGTAAATTTCTATAAACCACCTATACTTTACTTGGTTTGCAGCTGGGTAGAAAACCAACCGTTTTCAGTGGCACTGTCCCCGCTGGAAACAGAGTGAGGAGTTGTTAAAAAACACCCACATTTCTTGGCTGAAAAGCTGCTGGAAACGCTGCGACTTCTTACTTAAAGACAACCAGTTTTGTTGTTTGTTGGCCTGCAGTTTGGCTGGCGTCTCGCCCAGGTGACATGCCATTCACCATCCCCACCACCTCTTGTTGAAAAAGTCATGTGAAATTTGCAAATAAAATGAGTCTTTGGCAGAAACATACAGTGCAAACATTTTCTTTTGGGGATTGGGCTGCTGACAATCACAAATGCAATGGAAGACAGCTGGTGCTCCGTATCATTCTGCTTCCTCTTCAGTCTTTGGACTTTGCAGTTTGGTTTCTATGTTTGGTTCCAAAGAAAGACATTACTTTAGTGACAAAGTCTGTTCAGTAGCTGGCACTTTTTTGTGTTTGTTTACTGGTTTATTTGGTTTATAGAGCTTTTGTGTTGCACTCACATTGGCAGTTACAAAATATTAGCTACAAATTTATTTTATTTTTTTTCTTTGTTAGTCGTTATTTAAAAACCATTTAATTTTAATGGGAAAACACCATGAGCTTTTCTGTGCAAAGCATCCCCCACTGCTGTTTGAAGACTTTGTCTTTGACTGCTGATTACTTTGACCCTTAGCTTTATTGAAGCACAATGCTACAGTCTGTTATCAGCTAACAGTTTTTCCTGGTCTGTCACTCTGTCTTTGGCTGGAAGAAAGTTGTTTAAGCTTATTTTTTAAGCCAGTAGATCATAGGTCTTTGCTGTTTGTTTGTTTGCCTCATTGTTTTTGAGCATGATATTTAAAAAATGACAGAACATGGTAACGAAATTTGTTTGAAAGTTCTTCCAAAAAAAAACCCCAATAAGTTAATTCTATTTAATTATGCACTTTTAATTTAATGATTTTGTTGATAAAATAGAAAAGAAGTTGTTTCCAAATGTCTCTGTTTGTGCTACCAACAGTGAAAAACCAAAAGATATGTTATATATGTTTACTATCATGAGACAATAAGAAAAGACTCAAAAAAATGACTCAAACTAATGTATTATCAAATGCTTTCTGCCAATCAACCAGGTTATAATCAGCTGATCAATTCAGCTGTGATTCAGTTTTGGGGCAGATTTTAGTAATGTCTTTTTTTGACATTACAATATTTTTGCTATTTATTCATGTTTTCGTATTTCCATCGAGGACTGTAGTTAGTAGCCTCTCCATAATAAGCAGTGTTGTAGAAACGCTGATTTGTAACATTAAACTGCTTTGTTTAGTGTTTTCACTGGTTTTTATTTCAATTTATTGTCATTTATAAAACAGTGCATAGCATCCATGCTTAAAATGTACGTACAGACAAAAGCCAAATATGGTGTTTGCCAAAAAATATTTGACAGTTTCATCAATCAGGCTTCCACCTCACTATCTGCGTTGCCAATATCCCATCTCCAAAATGTTCGTAAGCATGGGTCAAAGTTCAGGCCAAAGTATTTACAAATGAGACCCCTGGTCCGTTTGTTTGAGACTCCTGGTAAAAACCTCCTAAACATCTGTATTGTAAATAATAAGAGAAAAAAGATGAGCACACATTAGCAGATGAGGGGCTAGCAGATCGTCTGCAACAAGCTAGCAAGTTTTTACTGATTTCAGTCACCTGGTTTGTTTGTTTTGTAGAGGAAGAAACCTCTGCCGATTCTTCAGCTCCTGGTAAAAACCTCCTAAACAATGAACACTGAAGGAATTCTCACCAGGAGAAGATTCAGCTGGTTGCAATCTGCAATCCTTACTGCTAGATGCCACTAAATCCCCCTAAATCTTACATGCTGGACCTTTGAGCGGCTAACTTTAGCAATTTGCCACCCAAAAATTGACTGAAGGCCACTTGCCTTCACGGAGGCTTCCTCCAGATGAAAGCCGGCCCTCCCCTTCCCTCCAGCACACTGCTGCTTCCCACAGCGATTGGACTGACCTCTGCCACAATAATAAGTCCTCCAGTCGATATCTAACCATGTGGAGTCAATGCATGTGTGTGCCAGTGGTGCGAGCTCAATCAGTGGAGATGGATTATTGATTTCTTTGGCTGAACTCATCTTTGAAACGTGTTGATGAGCAACGAAGAACGCAGGTTGGCGTCAGACACAGACAGGTGATGCACCTGTAAGTGTGTGAGAAACATGATGATGAGAAGATGACGTGAGTGGGTGGTGTCAAGGTGGTGAGGTACTCACTGAGTTTAGTTATAACCTCAGGACTGACAGGAAAGGAGAGATACTGCAAGTCAGTTGTCTGTTTCAACTTCCTGTTGCTGATAAATATTGGATGCAGCTTTTTGCATGTTATTATACAGCCTGGCTGTTGGAGTGTGTCAGAGCCAGAGCAGAGGGATGGAGAGATAAGAGAGGGGGAGAGAAGTTCTCATATATCGTCATCATGTCTCTCCTCTGCCAAAACACACGAACCTTCAGTAGGGAGTTACTGATGATGAGTTTTAAGCACAAGTTGCCATTTTCCTGCAAGATTCATTATAACTGATGGATTAAGATGTTTCTCCATGTTTATCCTCTGTGCCTCCTTCTCTTGTCCTCAGCTGCTCCGTTACTGCGAAAATCTGTCTTGTTATGTAAATGCTGCAGCACAGAGTGAGCCCATATATTTTGCTTTACTTGTGGTCTGACAAAGTTCAATAGGTATGTATGCTTGGGACAGGATCAGGCTATGCGATGTAAACTTTACTGTCCAACAGAAGCATCCTCAGTCTTTGGTTTTTCACTTATATTTGCAGAGAAAGTTTCAAAACATAAAAAAAAATGTTAAATTGTTCTGCAGGATTATCCATTTCTCAACGGTCAATCTGTATTCTCATTCATTTCTTTCTCAGTTTCCATGCATAATCCTGTCCTGAGACAGTTTGCATATTAGAGCACATCCATCTATCCATCCATCCATCCATCCAACCATCCATCCATCCATCCATGCTTTCCAGCTCCTCCTGGGGGACCCCAAGGCGTTCCCAGGCCAGATGAGATATGTAATCTATCCAGCGTGTTCTGGGTCTGCCCCAGGGCCTCCTACCAGTGGGACATGCCTGGAACACCTCCAACGGGAGGCTCCCAGGAGGCGTATCTCGGAGTCTTGTTCACCAGTGACAGTAGAATGGAGCGTGAGATGGATCGGTGGTTTGGTGCGGCTTCTGCAGTGATGCTGGCGCTGCGCTGGACCGTTGTGGTGAAGAAAGAGCTGAGCCTGAAGGCGAAGCTTCCGATTTACTGGTCCATCTACGTCCCAACCCTCATCTATGGTCATGAGCTCTGAGTAGTGACGGAAAGAATGAGACAATGAGACAGGTACAAGCGGCCGAAATGAGTTTCTTCCGTGGGTTGGCAGGGCTCACCCTTAGAGATAAGGAGCTCGGACATCCAATGGAAGCTCGGAGTAGAGCCGCTGCTCCTTCGCATCAAAAGGGGTCAGTTGAGGTGGTTCGGGCATCTGATCAGGATGTCTCCTGGGCACCTCCCATTAGAGGTGTTTCGGGCACGTCCCACTGATAGGAGGCCCCGGGTTAGACCCAGGACACGCTGGAGGGATTACATATCTCATCTAGCCTGGAAACGCGTTGGGGTCCCCCAGGAGGAGCTGGAAAGCGTTGCTAGGGAGAGGGACGTCTGGGGTGCTTTGCTTGGCCTGCTGCCTCGGCAACCCAGCCCTGAATAAGCAGATGAAAATGGATGGATAAAAAAAATGACTTTGCAGAGTTGTTGATTAGTTGATTGTTGAAGATTGAAAACCTCACTGTTGCTATCACTTCATTTTCACCAAACCCATTTAGAAAAAGCAGCAAGAAGACGACAGACAACAGGTGGAAACATAACATCTTGCTGGAAGTTGAATTTTCTTTTTTGAAACGAACTTGTAAAGTCTGTTGACGTAGGCCCTTCAGAACTTTATTTAAGTTAAAGTGATTTTATTTGCACCAAAACAGCAGATTGAATTTCTCCTTTTCATCAACCTTTTGGAGCCCCAGAGGCCAAAAATAACCTTTAGAGGTCTAAGAGAGCTTTTATCACTGTTTCAGTCAGATTTTTCGACAACATCAGGTGACCTTGACTGTGTATGCTGGCTATGTTTGTGTGTACACAGGTGAGGTGCGGCCTTGTTTGTATGCATGTCCTGTGTGGTGTCTTGCTAAGTTGTCTCTCTCTCTCTCTCTCTGAGGTGAGACCAAAGACACACTTTAGGCCCTGGTGCCACAATAACCTTTTCTTTACATTCCCCTGTTGTCAGACTGAGAAGCCAATCTTCTGATCTATTGTGAAATGCTGAATCGGGTACACTGCGGGCAGTAAAAGGTCCCAGGCTCATTATTTTTCTTCTTCTCTCTTTGTGTCATCAATTTTCAGCCTGACCATGTCCACTGGAGCAAGATCATGACTTCTCTCAACGAGTCAGACGAGACCCCCCTCCCTTCCTTCCCTGTCTCCTCCCTTGAGCACAATTTCTCCGTCTTTGTCACCCATGACCCTTCATACTCCCCCATATCCTTCCCCACCTCCTCCCCCTCCTCGCTGACGTCCTCTAACTGCACCAGCTCTCCGTCAGCCTCCTCTCCTCCATACAACTTCTACGCGGTGCTGCTGGTGCTCCTCATCTTCTGCGTGGTGTTCGGTAACGTGCTGGTGTGCGTGGCGGTGTCGCGGGAGCGCGCTCTGCAGACCACCACCAACTACCTCATCGTCTCGCTGGCTGTGTCCGACCTGCTGCTGGCCACACTGGTCATGCCCTGGGGCGTCTACCTGGAGGTGTGTGTGCATTTTGTGTACTTTGTGTGTGCTTTGTATAATTCATTATATTTCTGTACGATCAGCATAAAAATATACACTCAGCAGGAAGCAGTGGGACCCAAAAGTGGATAAAAATGTTTTGGATAGTGTGCTTGTTCCTCATAAACTTTATCGTACATTGTACCATGTGCAAAACAGAAACAGAAACATCAAACATCAGAGCAGCAGTTACAGATTTATATGAGGTAATTCAATTTAATATAACTGCTGTTTAAACAAACCAGGGCTGCAACTCTAATTATTTTTATTATAGGTAAATTTTCAGATTATTTTGATAATATCATTATTTGAATTTTATAAGCACACAAGATGTGATTAAAAACAAGTATTTAAAAAATAAACGTGATAGGAATTATGCAGGAAACTTACGAAACCTGAAGGGGCTTATGGTGAAAATAATAACACATAACACATAAACATAACTAATACATTAACTATGGCACAGGTGTTTTTTTTTACATATTAGATTTAAATGAGAGTAATGATGGACAGGTCTTAGTGAAGTGAGGACTGCTGTTCCAGAGTAATGGTCCTCTGTATTTCAAAGCATATTGTCCAAGTGTTGTGCAGTTACAGGGAAGATAAATATCCTCTGCTTGTCTTGTTGGATATGAGCGAACATCAGAATTCATAAAGAGAAAGCTGTGAAGTACATCTGGTAAGCTGTGTTTTTGAAAAATGCATTTATACATAAGAATATTAGTTTGATAAATGTTAATATTAAAAATGGACAGCAGATTTAATTTCTTGAACAAAGGAGCCAATAATTCCCAATGATTTGCTGCTGATGGATTTAATTTGAATTAGAAGTCTTTTTTACAGGGAAGAAGGATATGTACTGGCCCAAACAATGTTACAGTATGATATGTATGGATACATTAAACTATAGCAGCCTGTCATTTGACAGGATTGATTCACTATTGAGCTAAGTTTTCTAATGATGCCAAAAGACTTCATAGTTTCTTTACACACCAACTCACTGTTGTCTTTCCAGGACGGTTGTTCATCTGCTATTACACATAAGAATTTGGCAGTAGTAACTTGATTGATTTCAATATTACTAATGTATGGTTTAGCATCTTCCTTTGAATAACTTTTATTTTTATTTCTGAAAATTATGAAATTAGATTTTTTGACATTTAGAGAACTTTTGTTTATGCTGAACCATTTTCCAGTATGATAGGGTATGAATGGCATCTCTGATCAAGGCAAAGAGGATGGGTAAAGCTGTTATAGAGCTGTAATGACTACTTGAGTTATCAATTAGTCAATCCACAGAAAATTAACTTGCACCTATTTTAATTATTGATTTATCATTTGTCATTTTTCAAGTAGGAATGTCAAACACCCTCTGGTTACAGCCTCTCAAATGTGAACATTTGCTGCTTTTCTTTTCTTTGTCATATACCGTATGATAGTAAACTGAATATTTAGGCATTAGACTACAATACATCTTCTTGGGCAGTGGGAAAGAGACATGTTACAGACATAAATAAAAATATTAAAGGGGTACTTTGCCTATTTTAAACCAGGTCTGTGTCTCCTCTGTGTGGGGAATGTGTGCAGATGAATGGTGCTAGCAGCGTTGGGAACTTCCCGCCAGTCACCAGCAAAACATGTCTTTTTGCATCAACTGATGGATCTCTGCTGGTGAACGGGTGGGGAGCTCTGGGAGCTGATGGCGCACAGGGTGCATTGATAACATTCAGGGCTGAAAATAAACACCCGCCAAGCGCCAAATGCAGGAAATTTTTCCATTTGGCGACTAAATCTCGGAAGGCTATTGCTCCCCGCTGCATCAAGGAACCTGTAGGCCTACTCATAGGCATATCGCACGCCTAGATCCATGATCTGCTGTTAGTAGCAAGCAAGCTACTACTGTCGGCATCATGTGGCGACATTTACCAGGTGTAAGTAAACCACCGACAAAATGAAAAAACACCGATGAGATGGAAGCTGAAGCTGTAACGTTACAGAAAAAAAGAAAGTTTTGCGAGAAATGGAGGTTCGGCGATAACAGCATTTCAAGAGGCTGGCTACACAACCATGCTGAGGGTGCAGTAATGAGCTGTAATTTATGTCGGCAATATGCTAAAGAAAAACCGTAAAAACTCGTTTGCCATCGGTAACAAAACGATGAAGCTGCATGATTAAGAGTGGGCAGTCTAAAGAGGTTTAAGTTACATGATTACTAAGCGTCTGAAAGGTTTCCAAAAAAACTATTTACTGTTATGTTTACTGTAAATTACTGTTATGTTTGAAGTACAAATGTTTGAAGTACAAAGTGGAATTTTGAGCTCAAAACTTTGCTTCAAATTTCACTCTGGCCTCCCCTTTAAGCTTGTATTCAACATAATACTGTATCATCTCAATGAAAAGTACTGAAACAAATGTATATATGACAGGAAAAGGCAATTCATTATTTTGGCTGGTAAAAAATATCCTTGGCTGGTGGATGTTTTCATCTACCATTTTCAGCCCCGTCAACATTCATCTATACACATTCCCCACACTGAGGAGACACAGAGCTGGTTGAAAGTCAGTAAAGTATCTCTTTTAAAGGGAACTAAACCATTTTTACAATTCATACATGTTATTCCTGTGGTCTAAGACAGTCCAAAAACATTAGTGAACATGACCAACTCTCACAAATAGGTAGAGAGCTAAAACACATTTTGTTTTATGTCATGAGGGAATAAAGTCTGGAGCTGCTCCATAGACAGTGAACAAGGAAAGATGTTGCAAATGACACTGAAAGCAGCCGGGGGAAATGTTCTGAGTATATGGGTACATTTTCTGGTTCATACCAGATATAATACAATAAATCTCATCTGGGATTAAAAAGAAAACAGACATTCTGTGGGTGCAGAGGATCTGACTCTCGTTCATTGTTTATGGAGCAGCTTCAGACTTTGCACTTGATGTCATCACAAGTCTGAGACTTCCTTCTCTGGTCTCTGGCTTTGAGAGAGCGTAACTCATGTTCACAAATACTGGTTGGACGTTCCTGGACCATGGGAATATCCTGTTGGTGACATATTAGTCAACTTAAGTTTATTTATTGACCACATTTAAAATCAACAAATGTTGACCAAAGAGATTAAATAAAACAGGGATTATCAAATGAAAAAAACAGACATAAACAAGGCCAGTGCTCTGACTATAGTGCAGAGCTCCCTGGGCGGCCACTCTAGACAATTCTTTTGATTCCAGCAGACACGCCACAGCGTGTTGCAGAAACGTCCTTGAAGCTAATGAAATACATGACTTGTCTATTTTTGACGGAGCTGTGGAGCGTTGCACAGAACACATTTCTCCTGCCAGCAGGCACTTTATGTGAAATATACACTGATCAGCCACAGCATTAAAAGCACAGATGGGTGAAGTTGATAAAACTGATCATCTCGTTACAATGCAATGTTCTGCTGGGAAACCTTGGCTCCTTGCACTGATATGGATGCCACCTGACAGGCTCCACCAACCCAAGTACACCCCCCTCATGGCAACAGCACTCCCCGATGGCAGTGACACCACAAAAATGCTCAGGAATCGTCCGAGGATTGTGACAAAGAGCTTAAGGTGTCAACCTGGCTTCCAAATCCCCAGATCCCAATCTTAAAGTGGATGATGTATTTTTAATGACTAAAACGCAGCCACAAATCTTTGATCAACGTCATTCAAAACTGCCAGCTTTCTGGCTGCATTATATTGAAACTTTCCTGTGCCTGCAACATTTGTGTTGCACCCTGCATGATTCCAATCCTGTTGCATCCTTCTACAGTACAGTATCTCCCGCCATGACATGACATGACATGATCATGGACTTTAGGAAAAATCCCACTATGGGTCAGGCAGTAGAAATTGTGCAATCATTTCAGTACCTTGGGACTATTTTAGACTGTAAATTAAATGTTGACACAAACTGTGAGACTGTGTGTAAAAAAGGACACCAGCGTTTGTTCTGTTTAAGAAAGCTGTCGTCTTTTAACATCGACAAAACCATCATGACATTTTTTTGTCGGTCTTTTATTGAGTCAGTTTTATCTTTTCCCTTGGTGTCATGGTATGGCTTTTTATCTGTGAAGCAAAGGAACAAACTGATGCAAATTGTGAGATGGTCAGGGAAGCTGATTGGCGAATCACAGCTCAGTCCGGAGTTCCTGTACAACAGGCAGCTACAGAGGATAGCTAAGTCCATCTTCAGTGACCACTCTCATCCCTTACATGAAGAGTTTCAGCTTCTCCCCTCTGGTCGGAGGTTTGCAGTCCCAAAATGTACAACACAGCGCTACAGAAACAGATTTGTTCCAGCTGCTTTTGTTCAGGTGAACAAGACATAGCAAAATTTGCACACCTTTATTTTTTTGATTGGAACATCTATTTATTTATTGAAGTGCTCTTAGGTTTTTAATGGAGTTGTTGTATCTTTATTTTAAACTCCTTCTGTGAGCAACTTTATGTTACTTTCACCTACTGTTTAAGGATGTATTGTTTTTTTTTTTTAAGGTTTTCTCTTTATGGGTTTTCAGGGTTCCTGTGGTTGTGTGTAGCCTGAAGCACTCAATTGTTGCTGTTTTGTGTTATGTAAATATTGTCAGAGCTGCCTATCTGTCTGTCCTGAGTATCTGCATTTAATTAGTTAAGTTGGATGCCTGCGCTCCAAAAACTGCAAAACAAATCAACCTACGAGTATTTAATAAAGTAATCTGTAATCTGAATCTGATCTGCCACTGCATCTCTAAATTTCTCAGAGCCTGAGGGGACATACTCAGATCACTCATTTTGCCCAACCAACAGACCAAAACCCAAATAACTAACTTACTCAAAGGAAAGCAGCAAATTGTCACCTTTAAGAAGGTGGAATCAGAAAATGTTTCATATGTTTGCATAAGAAATGACTCAAACAATTAATTTATTTTCAGAAATGTTGCAGATTGATTTCCTGTGGATAACTAATTTAAGTATTTAGTACAAATTAGTTATAATTAGTAATGCTGCTTGTTTCAGCTCTGGGCTGTTCCATTAATACCAATTATCACTGAAGCTGTTTCAGTTCTGAATACAAAAACCTCAAGTCAGTCTTTAAATAACTGCGATTTACAAATAATGTCTCACAGACTATGAATATTTAATGTGTGAGTGCAAAAAACGAATGACTACATTCAATATTTTTCTGTGTAACTGTTAACACATCATCTTTTATTTATTGTGATACTGGAGAAAAATAAAAAAACTTTTAAATTCTTTGTGGGTAAACTGGATCACTTTAGAAACAAATCATGGTGGTCTAAAGGAAAGACAAAAATGGAATTAAATATTAAGTACCTCTGAGTGATACAGCCACATTAATATTAACACTGCTGCACCAGTATTACGACACACTGTATCGGCCAAAATGAGTGGAGAAATTAAAATCCTTGAAAGTACATGAGGTAAAAATTGTCCTGAGGGGAAAAGTGTATTAATGTCAGTGTGTTTAGTTGAAGGTGGTGGGAGAGTGGCACTTCAGCCTCATCCACTGTGACATCCTGCTTACCCTCGACGTCATGATGTGCACCGCCAGCATCCTCAACCTCTGCGCCATCAGCATCGACAGGTGGAGTCTTCCTTTAACTTAACTCTTAGTTTACTCTCTTTACTGGATGAACGTCTCGTTGCTTTTATTCTTTTCTTTTATTTATTGAACTTATAACACATGCACTCTCATCATCTTTGTCTCCGCTCTTACAATTTGAGAAAAAGAAGATAGTTGATGATAAATAATTGACACAGGGATTGTTATTCCAGAGACCAGAATAACAAAGATGACAGTGAATCAATAATATGTCTTTACTTTTTACTCTCCTCTAACCTTGATCTTGATTGGTGAAGGTTGAGCTAAGCAAAGGGCATGCAACACACGTGTTCAAAAAAAAAAAAAAAACAAAAAAAAAACCCTCAAACGTCCAGTATAAACTTTAGAGATGCATCCATCATCCGGCTGTCACAGATCAGCAGGACAGAAGCCGCATGCTGTAGTCATCTGTTTATCTTTTAGCAGGAAATGACAGGTTTCCACTGTGTCTTTCACGATGCCCTCTGCTGTCATTAAAGTTTGTTCTTCATGGATCAAGGAGACTGCGTTCGATGATTCCACCTGATGCCCTCTTCATGGGTCCAGGGGGAGGTGACCAGACGCCCAGCGGGCAGGTTGTCTGCAGCTGCTCCCTAATTACTCTGACAAAGTGACACATTGAGGCTGGACCGGTTTAGACTTGTGTAATTTGGTGCATTGATTAAGGATAAAGTCTAATTGGTTTGTCAAACTGTGGACGATGAAATATACACTACAGTTAGAAACTTGTCTCGGCTTCGTGCCCTTGCAGTTTAAAATAAAACATTGACTACAAGGTGAAAGTGCTGACATCTTAATGTGAGGGTGCTTATGTCCACATCAGACCATCAGTGTAGAAATTGGAGCCTTTTTCATACCCAGCCCACCAAATTAGAAAGTTAATGGATGAATTAGCATAAACCCAAAAAAAGACACCAATCTGGCCAATCATAGTGTAGCATAGGGCCGGTTCAGACCAGGGTCCAACAACAACACAGCTGTGCTCCATTGACTCTAATGCAACCATTTCAGATTTTCTTCATTTTCAGGCTGGTTTTGTGGATTTGGAGCTAAATGTTGTGCCTGGGGAACATCGTGTATTAATGATACTCGTTACCTGGAGAGGCCTATAGTTCGGCTTTAGCTTCTAACTATCTTTGTCTTTGTCTTTGTCTTTTTACGAATCTTGAAATCTAAAACTTAACCTTATATTGTCTTTTTACTTTATACTTGAATTTACCTGTTTGCAAAGTACAGATTAACCAAACTCACTGTTTTATCCACATTCCTACACAAAACCTACCTAAAACCTGAGAGCACACTTTGCTGTCTGAATCTTCTCCATTTAAGAAGAAGAGAAGAAGAAGTTATACTTCATTAATCCCAGAGGGGAATTTTTTTCATTCTGTTGTCATACACACACATGCACAAACAGGACCTATAGATGCATTAAACGGAGAGATGTCAGAACGAGGGGGCTGCCTTGGAGGTGCCCCAAGCAGTTGGGGGTTCAGTGCCTTGCGGTGAACTGGCACCTCTCCAGATACCAGTCCACGCTCCATATTTGGTCCATACAGGGACTTGAACAGTTACCCTCCGGTTCCCGAGCCAAGTCCCTTGGCTTGTCCCTTGTGTCCTGCTCAATGTCTGCACAATTCCTATAGGACGTCTTCACGGCTAATATATTCCTGAGGTAGAAAAACTAATGTGGTTGTCTCCAATATTCTTATTCAGTTCAATTCAGTTAGACTGCTTGTTGCAGGTTTTGAATCCTGAAACAACAAAGACTTCCTGGAAATTGAATCTATTGAAAGCTGACTTTCATCCGTAGAGTCTCGGGTAACTGTGTTTGGGTCCGTGACTTTCTGCTCACAGTCGGGATTACAGCAGTGTGCTGAAGGAGACTGCACACATCTGCCCTTAAAGCAGACGACTCTCAATTGGTTTTGACACATGCTGACAGGTGTGTGTGTGTGTGTGTGTGTGTGTGTGTATCTGTGTGAGTGTTTTGTGTCCTTGTGGCTGTGAGACAGGCAGTGACAGCTTCTGTCTGTTTGAGGGGAAACTGGGAATTTGTCAGTGTTCTGTATAAAGTTTACTTTAAATATGTGTGAAAATTATTTCAATGGGATAATAAAGTTTGAAGACACATCAATGTGTTTACTCTGTACCACGAGTGAGTGTGTGAGAGGCATGCCAATGTGTGTTCTATGTGCTTCATGCATATTTGTTTCTATCGATGCAACCCAGTCACCAAAATAAATGCTTGCATTGTAGGTTTCTGCAAACCACAGATATGTTACATTTGTATATTATGTAGCAGATACGTTGAAACGCTAAACGCCAACATCTTCTTCTTGTGACTGGGCTGATGTGTGTCTGTGTGCTATTACAGATACACAGCAGTGGCCATGCCGATGCTCTACAACACCAGATACAGTTCCAGGAGGAGGGTGGCAGTGATGATTGCCGTGGTGTGGTTCCTCTCTTTTGCCATCTCCTGTCCTTTGCTGTTTGGACTCAACAACACAGGTAACACCTAAATCTGATCCCTCCTCTCATCTTCCTGCCCACCTATTAGTTGTTGTTTTTTCAGTTAGCTCCACTTATACAGTCTTAGTGCTTGGTCACTCCACAAAGTGGCACAGCAGGAATTCATTAACGTCCTCATGTTTGCTTTGCCTTCACCAGCAATCCACTGATCGTAGCGATTCCACTTAAAGGTATACTCTGAAGGATTGTTGGTTGTTGTTTGTGAACAACCTCACCAGCAAAACCCTCCCTTTGGTTTTCACCTCACTATATTTGCCTTTTTCTCAGCACTGTGTCTTTTGGATGTCTGCTGCTTACAGCTTGGCACCTGGTGGCCATCTTGTTACTAAGCCCCAACCTTACCTGAGCGCTGTGGGGCTGCACGTCCACAAACATCCAAACACAGAAAATAAGGAGAAAATAAGAAAATACAGGCTGAGGGCAGAATCTCTGCAGAATAATACACCACCACACACTTATGGTGGGTCAGAAGTGATGACTGGGAGGGATTACTTATGTATAAGTCACTAGAATGCATAAAATCCTGCATAGTAAACCTTTAAATGAACTGATTTGGTTCCAAAATTTCTGGTCCAACTGGGCCCCTAGTTTGAGTTTTCTTAGCGACAGCATCTTGAGCCATTGCTCCCAACCTGAGAGTTAGGATCCCCAAATGAGTCCTGTTAAGAATCTGAGGGGTCCTCAGTTGATAACAAGAATAAAAAATACATAAATAAATTAGGGCTGTCAACCGATTTTAAAAATTAATCTAATTAAGTACACGCTCTGTGATTAATCAAGAAGAAGAATCACTCTTTGTTAAACACCTTACAGCTCGTGTCCACACTGAGCCTATAACCTGTGATGACGGCTTCATTTTGAGTGGTCACAAGCCAAAAAGGGGGGGAACCACTGATTTAGAGGAACTGCAAACTTTGCACAGGCACTGCAGCGCTTGTCTGTGTTGACTGCAGCATTAATCAGAGGAGGGCACAGTTCATAGAGACTTTCCATTATGCCGTCAGACCAGTGACAGTTTGATTTAAAAACCAGTTTAATAAAATGCTACAGAGAAGTTTAAATAGTCAGGTCCTTGACCTCCTTTTGAAGGAACAAAACTATTAATTGCCCTCTAGCCACACATCAAGGCTTGACTTTTTTTAGGGGGAAAATGATTTTGTATTTCAAGAAAGAATTTTGGGATCCTTCATTTCACTTCCACTGAATTTGTTGCAGTGCAGCATCTACTGTAGAAACCACTACACGAACTTAGGCTTCAGCATGTATTCATGATGGTTGCTGTTTGGGGCCCATGGCCTGTTTTACGCCAATGCAGGTTAAGGCACAAAAAGTCTCTTCCTTTAATCTATGCTAATTAGGAACTGGAAGATTGGGTCCTTCATGGCTAGTTTAGTCTGCAGCTGTTAAGGGATGTTGTCTTATCGTAGCAGTATTCTGCTAAACATCATCACTCTCTGAGGTGTAATTTCACTCACTGGCAGAGCAGTATACACACTTTCTCATGCACACACAGATTCCGCAATATCCCAATCCATCTGTCCTCGGAATTTGTTTATCGGTCTTTGATGACATATAGTAAACAAATCCAATGCATGTGCTCAGTCAACAGACCTTAACACTCAGCCAGCAGCCTTTATACTTAAATATCCATTAGCACAAATAAACAGGCGGCTCAGTAATCCTCCCCTGAATGAACTCTTTGAGGGAATGACAGCTGACGTCTGCCCCGCACACAAGTGGGCACACATAATCCTCCATTCGTTTGTTGTCTCACATAAAGAGCAGGGGGGTATTCCAGAAAGCGGGTTGTGTGAAAACTCAGAGTAAGTTAACCTTGAGATGAGGGAAACTCTTAGTTATCCATTCCAGAAAGAGAGGTAACTGAAACTCTGAGTCAATCACCATGGTAACAGACTCTGTGAATATAACCTGCTCGCTGACAGGTTTTCTTCAATAAACCCTGAGTTTTTCTCTGTCTCCTCCCTCTTACATGCTGTTTCATTTCCTCATTCATTCAGTCCGTGTCAAAGCTTGTATCGAAGCGCATTAATTAGCGGAGATTTACCGTCTGTCACAGTCTAAATCCTGACTGTTTTAAGTTACTGAATTTATGCACATCAATCAATTCTTTGGACATCGGTTTTTGTCTTTACATTCAAATATTACACAGCGAGAATTCATCCACAGCTCAGAATCAAACCTCTGTCCTTTTTATATTTATTATTTTTTATAATACTGTCAGTCTGCTAGAGCAGCTCCCAAATGTTTATTGCACATAATGTGTAGGTCTAATTATTTAAATTTTAAAAATCGGTATGAAGCTTTAGACACGTAGTATCAATGACTAATGATCTCTATCACTGATGTCATTGGTCGCACTGATGGAACATAATTCCTATAGCCTAATATTGGGGATTATATGTTAATATTTCAGAATGAGCAAAGGTGCAGCATTTCAGTGTCTTTAAATTTACTACATTTGTAGCTGAAATAAAGTCACTGAATGCTGTTGAGTCAAGATACAAATAGATGTGCAACATTTTAAAATCTACTGTATTTTAACCTCAACGTCTTTTCAAGTGGAAATCACCAAACATATTATTACTGTGTCAGACTGTGAGTTTATAGTCATGTCTCTATGTCTTTGATCTATAGCCTAGCCTATATGTTTTAAATCTTCCTATTTTTCAGTTGCTGCCTCCTGTGTTTTTCCCCATCAGATTAAATCTGAACAAATATATTATTGTATATAATTCATATAATGTAGCCTAATGTATCTACAGCCTGATACACAGTCAGATTCCACCACTTTATCTTCATTAAGGAAATGTAAGTCTGATAAATGATGAATAAACGGACAACAGTGAATAAAACTTTTTTATTAACTTTATGGTTAACTTATTTACACTTTCCTCGCTCTGACTCAGGCTCTTCTTTTAAAGATAAACGTGCACCGTCTGCTACACATGCATTAATATCTCTGCATCCACTGGATTAAAATGGAGGCCTGTCTTTTATTTACCTGTTGCCATGGTGAATCGTGGAGTTGGAGCTCCATTGATGATGGCTTTTTATTGTCGGTTTAACTCAGAATGAACATACTCAGAGTTGACTGAACTAACTCAGATCAGCTGTTCTGGAACCGGATACTCAGAGTTTCTCATCTCAGAGAAGTCAACTCAGAGTTCTGAGGGGTATTCCAGGTAGGAGTTTCAACAAACTCTGAGTCTAACCCTGAACTCTGAGTTGACTTCTCTGAGGAGCTCCAACTCCATGATTCACCATGGCAACGGGTAAATAAAAGACAGGCCTCCATTTTAATCCAGTGGATGCAGAGATATTAATGCATGTGTAGCAGACGGTGCACGTTTATCTTTAAAAGAAGAGCCAGAGTCAGAGCGAGGAAAGTGTAAATAAGTCAACCATAAAGTTAATAAAAAAGTTTTATTCACTGTTGTCCGTTTATTCATCATTTATCAGACTTATATTTCCTTAATGAAGATAAAGTGGCTGTGTATCAGGCTGTAGATACATTACATTATATTAATATATTTGTTCAGATTTAATCTGATGGGGAAAAACACAGGAGGCAGCAACTGAAAAATAGGAAGATTTAAAACATATAGGCTAGGCTATATATGATCAAAGACATAAAGACATGACTGTAAACTCACATTCTGACCCAGTAATAATATGTTTGGTGATTTGCACTTGAAAAGACGTTGAAGTTAAAATACATAGATTTTAAAATGTTGCACATCTATTTGTATCTTGACTCAGTAGCATTCAGTGACTTTATTTCAGCTATGAATGTAGTAAATTTAAAGACACTGAAATGCTGCACCATTGCTCACTCAGAAATATGAACATATAATCCCCAATATTAGGCTATAGGAATTATGTTCCATCAGTGCGACCAATGACATCAGTGATAGAGATCATTAGTCATTGATATTACGTGTCTAAAGCTTCATACCAATTTTTAAAATTTAAATAATTAGACCTACACATTATGTGCAATAAACATTTGGGAGCTGCTCTAACAGACTGACAGTCTGATCCTTGTGCACAGTGTTATAAAAAGTAATAAATATAAAAAGGACAGAGGTTTGATTCTGAGCTGAGGGTGAATTCTCGCTGTGTAATATTTGAATGTAAAGACAAAAAACGATGTCCAAAGAAATGATTGATGTGCATAAATTCAGTAATTTAAGACAGTCCTGAGTAACAAACTAATATCCAGCAGGATTTAGACTGTGACAGACGGTAAATCTCCGCTAATTAACACGCTTCAATACAAGCTTTGACATGGACTGAATGAATAAGGAAATGAAACAGCGTGTAAGAGGGAGGAGACAGAGAAAAACTCAGGGTTTATTGAAGAAAACCTAACAGCGAGCAGGTTAAGTTAACAGAATCAGTTGCCATGGTGATTGACTCAGAGTTTGATTTACCTCTCTTTCTGGAACTGAAAACCCAGAGTTTCCCGCATTTCAGGGTTAACATACTCAGAGTTTTCACTAAACCCGCTTTCTGGAATACCCCTCTGGGATAGACTCAGAGTTGTTGAACCTCCTACCTGGAATACCCCTCAGGAGGGAAGATGCTGAGCTGATAACCTCTGCCTTAATGAAGGCAGCTGTGAGGAGAGATGCAATGTGAATGTGCTCTCATTGAACTGGAGGCAAACAGCTTGACTGGGAAATAAGAAGCTGTGAGTGAGCTGGCAGCCTCAGTTGTGAGTTCAGTACTTTCTGTCTCCTCAGAAAAAGGCTGCTCATAGATTACAACACAAGAAAGGTACTTGTTGTGTATATCGCCGTTCAGTTCCTGGGTCATGACAATTAGGTGAACTCCATTTTCTGGTGAAGATCATGTGATACCTTGTAAAGCTCCATAAAAGCTACTTAATTGACGTTGTGGTGTGATTGTTTTGTTAGCTGCTGTTTTCAAGCTCAACAAGGAATGTTAAAGCTCAGTTTTTTGGGTGGTCTTGTTTTTGTAATTCAAGAAAATACTTTGATATTTTGGGGAGAGTTAATGTGAAAATAGATAGCACTTTTCTATGTGCTGTAACAACTGGTGAATCAGGTGAGGGTGGACTCCAATGCACGACTCTGGAGACAGTTGGGGTAAAATAACACATTCTTAACTGGTTAAAAGTAGGTTCCGTATACAGAAGGTCAATTAGTGGAGGCACAGAAATCCAATAGGGATGAGGCAGAGGCAGAGGCAATCAACAGACTAAATCCAAAAAACAAAGAAAAGGACCCAGGGAAACAAAAGACAGACAAGGAGCTAAGAGGAACTGACACACTAAATACTCTGGTGAGGGTTAGGCTAATGAGACGCAGGTGAGGCTAATCAGGGCTCAATGGACAATTAGACACAGGTGAAGTGGGAGGGAAAACACTGGGGGATGAAGTGAAATGATGTGAAACGAGAGGAGACACGAGTTGCAAAGTATAACAGGAAACAGTTTAGCTTATTAGTGTAAAGACTGGAAGCAGCGGGAAATGGATAGCACCTCTAAAGCTAGCAAACTAATTACATGTTGTATCTTATTTGTGTATTAAACCAAAAACAAAAGTGTAAATGTTAAAAACTAAACTAACATCCCCTGGTTGGATGTGTAACAGAGAGTGAGAGAGTGGTACTGAACTCCTCAAATAAGCAAAAATAAGCGTATTACCAAAAATGTCAAACAAACCTTTAAAACAGGGGTGTCAAACATACGGCCCATGGGCCAGAACTGGCCCATTAAAGGGTCCAATCTGGCCCACTAGATGCCAGGTCTCAGGAGCAAGTTAAACAATGTGTTGCCTACTTTATATAAAATTCTGCTTCAGAGGCTTTCCACCCTGAGCAGGATACAGTTCTCTGATATAACACTGAATACTTATTGTGACCATGTTTAAAGATAATGGACAATTTTTAAAATATTTTCAATCAGCAGTTTCACTTTAAAAGAATCTGTATCAGGACATGTGTGGATAAATGCACATGTAATGACAGTGAGACGTGGAAAAGCTGAGACATACTGTTGAAATTGCACTTATTTTTCTTAAGACATCTCAGGCTGTTTATCTGTTCGTAGAAGGATGAACGTCTACAGAATGTGCTTGTAATTCTTTACACAAAAAAAGGGGAAAATATTGGAGCTGATGGTACTTTAGGTTATTGTGCGATGGTTTTATTGGTCCGGCCATCTAAGATCAAATCGAGCTATATATGGCCCATGAACTAGAATGAATTCGACACCCCTGCTTTAAAGGGATAGTTCTGATTTTTTGAAGTGGGGTTACAAAAGGTACTTATCCATAGTCAATGTATTACCAGCAGTAGATGGCTGTCTACATGCCCCAAGTTTGGAGAACCAGACAGGAGTGCAGACACCAAAGCTCAGCAGTGTACTGCTGTGGACAGGAGGCAGCAGCAAAATGTATTTTAGCCACTTAAAAAAAAAGTCCACCCAAAAATTTTATATCAGTTTAAGTGGATGCTGTATTTAGAATATTTCCCCAGCTTTAGCTTGCCATCAGAATGTCCTTTCCTTCTTCACTACAGTTTCTCAGCTTGAAACTTCCATATTCCTGCGCATAAGCACAACTGTGCCACGCACTGTTTTACACCAAAGATCAGCTGTTTGGGTCAGACTTTCAGCAGCTTATAGAAGAGACGTTAGATACAAAATATTATTGATTGTGGCAGCAATGACAAAATGCTGTTTATTGTAGATGTAAGAGGGTTTCTTTATTTTTAGGTGACTGAGATACATTCTGTCGCTGACCCTTCCAAAGCAGAACATTGCTTAGCTTCTGTTGAGGTATTCGTGTCTGCTTCATGAAACTAGATGCATGCCTACTGACAGCTACTGTGGACACTGACTATAGAAAAGTACCTCATACAACCCCGCCTAAAAAAAACTCTGAACTATCCCTTTAACATACATATTTTGGATTAAAACAAGCTCCTGGATCATAAAAGAACATGACAAAATGAAATTAAACAGTGAAATCATATAACAGACTCAAAAAGTTTCTATACCATATTTATTCTTTGCATTCTCCTCTTCTTCTTCTCTGCATTAGCCAGCCGGGAGGGAACCACATGCAGCTTTGCCGATCCAGCCTTTGTGGTGTACTCATCTGTGGCCTCCTTCTACGTTCCCTTCATCGTAACGTTGCTGGTGTATGCGCAGATCTGTGTGGTGCTGCGCAAACGAGGCAGACGCACCGCCCCACCACGCAGACACAGCTTGCACGCACAGAGCGTGGCTGAGGGGGGAGAGGGTCATCGACACAGGAAGGTAGGCTCACAGATTTGGACATCAACTCGATCATCAGCTGTTTGGATGATTCTGTGTGTTGTCCCCTTTCTCTTCCAGCAAATTTTGGTATTGATAGATGTCGACCCACAGGCCTGCACCATCATAGAGTGTATCGCCAAAGAAAGTTGAGATGAAGTCCGTAACTTTCATGTTTGAAAATATCACTTCGGAAGTTTCCAAATTTGCTTTTAATTGAGTGTTTGCTCTTCCATCCATATTTTAAAAACCTCTGACACACTCATCATGTATTCTGTATCAGCTCGCTTCAGCATTTTGATGAAGCTATAGGATATTTACAGTGAATGAAATATTCACACTCAAGACTCTGCACCATTCTATCAAACAGAAACAGTCTAGATGAAATAAGATACACCTTTATTAGTCCCACAGCGGGGACATTTGCATTATTACAGCAGCAAAGGGGAAAGTGCAAAACAAGAAGCATCTGAAAAGAAATGGAAGTAGTCTGGATGTCTTGTGTTGTTGTGTTCTTAGCATAGGTAAACACCCTGCAAATCCCGATAACAGACCATGAAATCACAGGCTCGTGTGCACACAGAAACTGAAGAAGAAGTTGAGAGAATTAAGAATGCATAGCTGAAAGTCCAGAGAGGGCAGAGCACCAGACTCCAACCTATAACCCAAAACCTCCTGTTGTGAAGTGGAGGTGCTTCTGTAAAAAGTGAACACAAAACAAGCTGTCATATTTGGTACCGTCAGCAGTGGACATAGAATATGTAAAAAAAAAGATGTACGGGATGCTAAAACTACACTTTAATTAACCACCCGACCTGCAAACTGTATACTGTATGCATTACAGTGACGCAGTTGTCAAGCCTGAGGACGCACTTTACGAGGAGTGAGTGTGTGTGTTTAGAGACAGACAGAGAGAGGGGGAGAGAGGATATGAGGCTTGACTATTTCATGCAGCGTTTGCAAAGCAAGTTATTAATAACTCACTTGAAATGCTGCTTTGCCACTTTTGTCCTGCCCACGCAAACTGCCACTGATCAACCACTAATTATTAGATGGCATGGTTCCAATTATCATAACTAATGTAAGTGTTAGTGTAGAGTTTATTTTAAAAGACCATGATGCTTTTTGTAAAACAATTTAAATAATTAGTAAGAGTATCCTAGAATAGTATACAACTGTAGCATTGAAGAAAGCACAATAACCAATTTTTCATGTCAACATGTCAGTGGAAAATGTTCTCAAGTGTGTGTAGATTCTGTTCTTACTTAACAAATAAGAAAGCAGTGGTGAATCTCAGAATCTTCAAAAGTTGGTTTCAAGTAGAAATCTCTTCTTGAGAATGGTAGGTGAATGAGGACCATAGTTATTAATAATGTGGCGTGTTGGGGGCTGAAAGGGTGAAGTTTCCCAGCATGCTGTGAGACAATGTGTTTCAGGCCATAAGCTGAAGGAAACTGTGTTTAAATGTGTTTTAAATCACTCTCGTTACCTATTATGCAGTGATTGAAGTTCATGCATTTTACAGTGGCTGTAATGGGTTACAGTTAATGTTGTGACATATTGCACCGTAAGTTAGGTTGTGTGTGAACGTCAGGGACCTAGCGCCTGTGTTGCTGTCAGAGAGTTGAATGAGAAGATGTGCTATGGTTAAGTAAAGAGCATTTCCTGGTTCAGAGTTCATCTCTCTGCTGCAAGAAGCCCCAACTTGCTACAATATCAAATATATTTTCATCAATAGATGCCCCTAAATCCCAAATGCTGGACCTTTAACCCTTACTGAGGCCTCACTCATTAGGCCAGTAAGAACAAGACCAGTATTACACCGATATCTCTTAAATAGTCTTGTAAATGCTGTCATCTTCTACTAGAATAATCCCTGATCAGTACATTGGCATGCTCACTATATTAGCGGATTTACAGCTAGTGTGTTTTAATTGCTTTCTTTTCTTTTCTTTTCTTTGAATATCAATATCAACTTCAAAAATCCTGAACTGGTTTGGCTTTTTTTACTTAAGAATATATTTTACATGCTGCCCCCTCCTCTTTCAGAATAAGTGCACACAACCAGAGGATGTGAAGTTGTGCACCCTGATCCTGAGGCCCACCACAGCAGGCCCACAGCGCAAGAAAGTGGTGAGTCTCTCAGCAACACAAATAGCCTCTCTCTCGTCACTGTCACCTTCCTGTCTTCTCATATGATCTGTTGCCACTGCAGTGATGCTCTGCTTCCTGTCATCCCTTCTCCTTCTTACATCCACAAATGTCCCGCTTCCTTTGCCGTTGTTTCGTCTTTACTACCAAGCATCCACGCCTGTGTTTGTCCCCCAATGCTTACCTCCCCCACCACCCTCCTTCCCCCCTCTCTGTGTGTCAGACCCTGGTGAAGGAGGCGATGGTTCACCCCCTCGGAGTGGAGCCGGGTCAGTTCCTGCCCCAGACCGAGCAGAGCCTGGCTCCTCCTCCCGCTCCCCAAACCTCCTCCCACCCAGGACGGGCCAGGATCTCCCTGGCCATCTCAGTTGGACCCGCCCCGGTTCTTCCCTCCACCGTGACGAAATCGGCCCTGATGCCTCGCCCACCCACCCTCGAGGACGGCATGAGGGGCCGCGAGGGATGGAGGGAGCGCAGCGGAGGGAGAGAGAAATGGGGGATCACCAAGGAGAGGGTGAGAGGGAGGCTGTCGCAGCAGAAGGAGCGGAAGGCGACACAAATGCTCGCTATTGTGCTTGGTGAGTGGACACATACTCAGTGCACTCATAGCCTGTTTCACCGTGTGTGTGTGTGAGCACTTTTATTCACACAAACTCATCTACATAATTATGTAAACATACTACAAAATGTTTTTGTAATATTCTATAGCATCAGTCTGATATTATCTGGGGATGTTGCACATTATTCTATGTTAATTCTAACTCACATTACATTTCATATTTGACGTGTGATTGTGTTCATGTCTCCATGTCTTCATAGAGATGTAGAGTTATTATTTAAAGTTTTTATTTAAAGAACAAACAACAAAAACAAAGCAAATGTAAATCTGATTGTATAATACCTTTTCATAGGGGGCTCAGAAAGTAGAGTGCGTCATGTAGTGATCACAGTAGGACAAAAAAGTGGTGACTCCCTACCTTTGAAGCAGTCTTGATGCCCAAATATGTGTCCATTCTGCAGTTATCGATATTTCTTTAGTCAATAAGGGTCCAACAATGAAAAGAATCAAAGGGGGTTTTCATAAAATGAAGCTAAGGTGTGAATATTGGTGGGCTTACTATCCATCTTTCCTCTGCTCCACCGCCAGCTCACTGGTGCTGCTGCTCAGTGCCTTTTTTTCCACCTTACCTTCACCCTGATACAAAATCAGCCTAATCATTACCAAAGTTAAACACATAACGCATATGCATTTCTCTCATGGTCAGCTCTGATCACGGGTCTTCTCAGATCCACTTGCTTATTACATGTAATGATAAACAGACCTGGGACAAGTGGTAATAGAATGGGACCCAACACACATTTGATAGCAGGGTTGGTGGTAGGGGTGGGCGATATGGCCCTAAAATAATATAGATACTCCAGGGTATTTTTGCAATAATTATATTCTTGACAATTTGACAAATTAGTAAAAATATTATTATTCATTGAAGACAGTAAAATAAGTGACATAGTTTTACATGTAAACAGTTTGCCCACAAATATTCAGTACAAACTAAACAAAAATCATCTCTCATTTCTTTAGTTTGTGAACAACAACAGTAACTCAGAGTGAGATTGAGATTCTGTATACAATATTAATAGTTCAACAAAATAAAACTTACCACAAATTACATTTAAACAGCTCCTAAATACAAAAACAGTAATGTATAGTCTGGTTTCCATCCACCTATTTTTATTCGCATTTTCAACAATTGCGAAAAAAAACTTGAATGGAAACGCCAGAAATTCTAAAAAAAGGCCAAAATATCGCAAATAAGTTTTTACGCTTGGAGGGGGTGGAAAAGTCAGCGTATCGATATTAGGAAAATGTGACTTTTGGCAATGGAAACAGATTTAGCGAATAAACGATGACGTAGGCTACCGAATCCTACTTCTACTTCACACACACAACTGTGTGAACTTAGAGAGAGGTAATCACTCCAGTATCAGGTGAGTGTATTTCACAAATTACCTGAATAGACTGGATGTGTTGAATACCGCTGCATCATGTGCACTGCCTGGTGTACCAACACAGACATCACGGCATTATGTAGGCTATGCTGATAATGCTGATATGAGTGTGATGAGAGCTCTCGCAATAGCCAAGAAGTTCCCAAGGAATCTCTCCATCTCGTCGTAGTCATGGATGTGCCGGTAATTGTTTACATCAGTTGTGGACATGAGACGCTCTCAATGACGTCATCTCACGGCGCCTTCTTCTTCTACGGGTGTTCTTTTGCATTTTTATTTTTCATGAGAAGTGCCACCTTCTGCTCGACCTGTTGACTCCCAATACTCGCAAAACAATAATGAATGAATAAGGAATCCCTCTGAGCGCTGAAAAACATGTCTGTAATAATTCTGCTTTCAGCCATGCTTGTTGTTGCCGTGGGTAACAGTATGACGTCAATATGTCAACAAGTCGAAATATTGCAAGTATCACGATATGAATTTTTCACACAATATTAAAAATTATACCGGTATTATCATGAATGAGATGATATGGCTCAGCCCTAGTTGGTGCTTTAATCCCAACCTCCTTCAATCCACATGTGAAACTCCAAACATCTCTCCATGCTCAGGCTGCCTCTAGTTTCTTTGGATAAAAGCGCTATATAATATATATGAAGCAGCGATTACAATGAAGCCAGGTAAACTCACTCTCTATTACCTGAGGCACTGTGTAAGATGTGCACATTACAAGAGATCTCCTTTATTGCCTCGGTCTGTATTCTTGTAGTAGGAAGAACAACAACCTCTGACTTAAAAAGGACAGAAAATCAACCTGAAAGTCTGTTTAAAATGATTTTGTTTTTCAGTGACAACAATGAGCCTATTCCAGATGGAAGGTTTTGAATGTATATTTGGAAAGTTTTACTTGTTTTAGTAAGAGACACACTGGTGAGTAGAAGACAACATGTACACCACTTGTTTTGCCTCCTGCAGAGAATCAATTCCAAAGAAAAAGTCAATCACTGTACACACTCAACACCTCTGCCTGAGAAAGATTCAGATTCAGATTCAGATTCAGAATACTTTATTAATCCCCAGGGGGAAATTGTTTAAAAGGTCCCTGAGACCAGAACATCGACTCTTTCTAAATGTATGCAGGCAGGGGCATTAAGTGTGTGCTGAAATTGACTTTTTTATGGCTCTTTACTTGATTGTATTTTGTGGTCTGCCTCATCTGTTTTGTGATTAATGTGACTTGGCTGCTGTAACACTGATTGGGACTGATGAAGCTCTCTGTTGATCTATTTATGTTATTTCAGCAGTTTTGTGATTTTTTGCAAAATTCAAATGCAGAGGTTGGCGGGATATTGTATTTGTGATGTCTCTGCACATTTTGTGCCACAACAACCTAAATGCCCGAAAAAATGCTGGCATTGTACGTTTCTGCAAACCCCAGATGTATTGCATTTGTGTGTGATTATATAACAAATACATTGAAACTATGTTAAAACTTATCAGCAGTGCTATATGTTTATGTTTATGGTTATGTTTAGGCACAAAAAAGATCATGTTTTGTTTCTAAATACCCAGTTTTGGTTCCGTCAAAATATCCCCAAAGATCCAAGGGTGATTCTCCTCGGAGCGATCCCTTAAGGATTAGAGGGGAGGGCAAAAATGTATCTATTACAAATCCTCTTGTGGACTGCAGTTAAATGTATCACAATGAGATGGTTGAATCCTGAACCTCCAGTGTACAACATCTGGATTAAAAAAATATGGGAACTGTATGAGATGGAACAAATCACATATGCACTGACGATGCAAAGACCAAAATAATTTTTGTTCTCTTTTTACTCATGAGTGTACATGTAGTCAATCAGGTATGTTTGTATGTAGACATATACACATTTATTTAGTTGTCATTATGAATTGTATATTATTTTCTTTCTTTCTTTCGTTTGAATCTCAGGTACATCTTATCACACTTGAACACACTTCAACAGATGTTACGGCAGCTGAAAACTTTGCACAGTGATCAAAATACTGTACTATATGAGCTATGTAAAAATTGTATTAGGTCAAAAAAAAAGAAAAGAAAGAAAAATCCCAGTTTTGGTGGCACAGTCCCGACAGGAAATGCAGAGTTGTCTCGGTACAAAAACAACCGCTTTTTGTGGCACTATCCTGACAGGAGACGCAGCAATATGCCCGTTTCCACCGCAGGAACTTCGGGGTAATTTTACGGGGCCGGGGCCGTTGGTGCGTGTCTCCACCGCAGGAACCACCCCCGAAGGACAGAGTTCCGGAACTTTTACGGGGGCTAAACAAGTCCCTGCCTCGGGGTAGGTACTCAGAACGCCCCCGAAAGACTCCTGGCTGGGGCTTGGGATTTACTTGCTGCTGATTGGATATACTCAAGGCAGGATGTGATGTCAACAGAAAGCAACAAAAGAGCCGGCATTTTTAAAACTCAGCAGACGAGGGTTAGCTCGTTCATATAGCTTCCGCCGCCATGTATAAAAAAACTCACTAAATGGCCCGTGAAAAAAATATTTTTTCCAGCGGATATCTTAGTTACAACATGATTGAGCTAGCAAAGCAGTTTTGTGTTGATATGTGTGGTATGTATTCAGTTTTGGGAAATCACGATGTCTAGAAAGCATCTCGGTATAAACATGGGCCCATCCCGGCAGTAAAGGCAGAGGTGTCTCGGTAACAAAAAAACAGTTGTTTTCCGTTGCACTTTTCCAGCAGGAAATTCAGCGATGTCGGTAATAAAACCAACTGATTTTTGTGGCACTATCCCGGCAGAATATGCAGCTATCTCCCCGTAAAAACAACCGCTTTTTGTGGCACCATCCCTGGTGGCAAAACAGTGATGGGTCCCTGAAAACTAGCAGTTTGTTGTTTGCTGGTCTTAAACAGTGGTCTGCAGCTTAGCAGCTGTCTTGCCTAAGTATCACGCCATCGATCATCCCCTCTTCCTCCACTTGACAAAGCCAGCTCATATACTACATGACTTAAGAAACATTGATATGATATATGAAATATACAAATGTACTGTATTCGTGGTTTGCACAAATGTACAATGCCAACATTCCTTTCCTGTCCCTGTTTCTAAGGTGTGTTCATCATCTGCTGGCTGCCTTTCTTCCTGACCCATGTGCTGAAGGCCCACTGCAGGAGCTGCTGTATCTCGCCCTCACTGTACAGCGCCGTCACCTGGCTTGGATACCTCAACAGTGCTGTCAACCCTGTCATCTACACCACTTTCAACATCGAGTTTCGCAAAGCCTTCATCAAGATCCTGCACTGCTGAGAGCTGGAGAAATGAGAGGCAACAACTGTCAAGGGAAAAAAAAAAGAAGCCAGACGTTGGTTTGAGATGCGAGGTGAGAAAAACAAGGAGAGAAGAAGTAGTTGTCAGTTTTGGTACACAGGAAGGAGGGAGGGTGGGGCAATAGATTGGATGAATGATGAGTTAGTGGTAAAAGCTTCCTGGGAAATTAAAGACGAGAGAAATGTAACCGGCAGTCTAGACGAGACTGAAGACAGTAAACATGGCATACAGAGGGAATAAAGACAGGCTAAGACAGAACCAGACAATCACAATGAGAGAGTGTGTGACAAGTAAAAGACAGCTGTGAGCACAGAACCAAGACTGGAGACATTTATGGAAGACACCCACTGTGTTGTACATACAGTCTGAGAGGGGAATATATGTGAGGACTGATCTCTCCGCAGCATCCAGACTGACAGACTCCCTAAGACGTGACTGTTTTTCCAATACTTGCTGTGTCAGACTTCTGCTGTTGTATTTTACTGTATTTTACTGTGATCGCAAACAGCATCTTGTTATTTGTTCACATGTGCTCGTCTTTCTCAGAGGACTGGGAGAGCTCTCATAGCCATGGCTCGATCCTTTTTCACACTCTTTGAAAACCTGAAGTTACATAAAGAAAGAATTATTGATTTGGTTATTAATCGAACATACAGCATCAGCAGACAGTGAAGAGGGTGCTCATTTCATTTAATGTGTCCACTTTTTGCTTTCAATAAGTGTGCATACATGTGGAATTTGGTGTTGTAAATAATTTTACAGACTGAGAGGAGGCATCACAAGTATTGTACAAACCACTAATAATAATAAACATTTTCTTTCATTGCTTATTTTGTTAATTTTGCTCATTTTATTTATCCAAAATGATTTTTTCTTTACCCACGGTGCTTAGTATACTCTGTGTTTTTAGTGAAATAAAATTAAATAAGTAGAACAGAACAAATGTAATGCATGAATCAATGTCTGGAGCTGATACTGTGGACATTGTCCAAGGACTTGTGTAAAGTTAGTATTCAGACAGGAACACTCAGCATCTCAGATAAGACTTGCTTTAAAGCCTTCATCATCCTGGCTATCAATACGATAAAAATTTTGCCATGGGCTTTTTCCCTGTTTTTGATAATCTTCTAAGACTGGTCCATACCCACTGGTAGCTTTGTCACCTTCTACCTATGCCAATCCTCAATGCCTATTTGCAGTTTCACATAGACTGACCACGTCAGTGAGTAGAAAAACATGGGACAGGGGCGTCGGTGGCTTAGTGGTAGAGCAGGCGCCCCATGTACAAGGCTGTTGCCACAGCGCCCCAGGTTCGACTCCAGCCTGTGGCCCTTTGCTGCATGTCCTTCCCTCTCTTTCTCCCCCCTTCACGCTTAAGCTGTCCTATCAATAAAAGGCTAAAACGCCCAAAAAATATCTTTAAAAAAAAAAAAAAAGAAAAACGTGGGACAGACAGAATGACTGACTGACAGTTTCTGTGATTATGTACAGCATACCATACCATGACTTCGTCATACCAAAAATTAGACACAAACATTCAGTCATACAGCGATCAGTCGCATTTTAGCCAGGTTTAAGTATTTTTCTGTTGTTATAGCGCCACCCAGTTGCCAATTAGAGTTAAATTTCTTCTGTCAACTTGAAGCGTCCTGTTCTACATATCTACCAAGTTTAGTAAAAATCGATATGGCGGTTCGGCCGAGATAAGAAATTAGCTCTCTAGCGCCCCCATTTTGTTTGATGGGGTCAATAATGGAGGGGTCCCCTCAGATTATGTGTGGTCATATGCCTACAAAGTTGCGTGGTGATCGGTGAAACCCTTGAGATGTACACCTTTATGATACACCTTTATGTGATGAGCCACGCCCTCTGCAATATTCATTGCCTTATAGAAGCTTAGATTTAGAAAGTTTTCCAACTTTTCCCAAGAGGGAACTTTAGATATTGGTCCCTAGCTTATGTTCACCGAGTTTCATACAGATCGGTCAAACTTCCTAGGAAGAGATCGATTTTAAGTGTTTTTCAAAAAATTCAAAATGGCGGAAAATCTATATAAACCGGAAGTTATGGGTTCTTGGATAAATTTGTTCCTCATGAGGAGAGGCATCTCTGTGCAAAGTTTCATGTCTCTACAACATACGGGGCATGAGATATGTCCATTCAAAGTTTGCAATTTCAGTCGGTTGCTATAGCACCCCCCTTTTGGCCAATTGATGTAATATTACTTCATTCGCATCCTCCCGTGACCCTCTACCACTGTGCCAAATTTCACATGGATTGACCAAGTCAGTGAGGAGAAAAACGTGGAACAGACACACAGACACACCCACAGACAGAGTTTTCGTCATTATAGAGTAAGATGGTGTGTCGGTAGGTGTGTGTGTGTGTGTGTGTGTGTGTTGACCTATCATTTCAATAATTTCGAAAAGATTTAGGCAAGTTGTGTTGAATATTTAACACATTCTTTGGCCTCTGAAGTATCTTGTTTTCTTATTTATTGAACACCCTGACACTGAACACTGGTGCAAAGTTGGTTTATTGCCAGAGTCTACAATGTTTTTAGGCCAAGGACCCGTTAGCTGAAAGACAGTCGGTGCAGGGATCCCTTGCTACATACACTGTATAAAACCAAATTGCACTTGAGATGATTCTCTGAATATTTTTGAGTCTTCTCTCGTTTACCAGGGTGTCTACAGGTCCTTAAAAAGTCTTATAATATTTTAAATTCAGTGTTACAACAGTAAGGCTTTAAAAGTCATTAAATAGTCTTAAATTTGTGAGGTCTTAACTACAACATTTTATCTAATTTAATTTATCCATTTTTTTATATCCTTTTGTGAAAATGAGTGAAGCCTTTCTTTGTAAAAGTCCACATTTATAATGTTACAAATTTAAAAAAAAAAAAAAAAACTAAAAATGCCAAAAATGAGAAAAAAAATCTCAAAATATGGAATATATTTATAAAAAAGGGGGTTACTCTTGGGGGTTGTATTAAGTAACGTTACAGTCATGACGTACCATCATTGCGTCATAGATGCATAAAGAGAACTAAATACAGTGCTGAATATGAGGCCCAGCTCATACCTATAAAATTTGCATAGTGGCACATGAGGCCAAAAAAATTCAACTGCCACATAAAAAATCACCCAGATGATCAGCAATACTTCTGCACTGTGTGGCTCATAGAGCAGGCACGCTAGAGATGAGCTGGATCAAATTCTGATCGTGAAACAAGTCATTTCTCGAAGGTTGTGATGCTCAAAAAATGTATCCATCAATTTACAGGCATCTCTTTCACCATGTAAGTGAAAGGGAAAATGTTGGTGGCATTCTGTGACAGATGTTATTACAGTGTTTACATGAGAGTTTGACTATCACAGGATGTAAAAGTGTAGTTTACTGTGAGTAACAGCAGCTTCCTGTCAGTAACTCTGCTGTCCTGTCAGTAAATCCCACTGAAGTGCCTGTCTGCACAGAATAAAACAAATGCTATTAAGCAGCAAGTGCCGCAGCTCCTCAGGGGCTGCTGTGAAAACCCTGAGCGAGGGGCTCCTCTCCCAGCTGATACCACAGAGAGGGGAAACTGGCAGAGCTGTGTATCTGAGGAGTTCAGATTGATGCGGGTTGCCAGTCAGCCTGATTGGAGTAAACAAGGACCCTGACACCAATATGGGAGCAAATGAAGCCTGCACGCTTTATTTATTTATTCATTCAGTCAGTCATTGTCATGTGCAGCTGGGCAGGGTGCAACTCTGTGCTCATGTTATAAACAACAAGTCAGCTATACCCACACATTTTAAGCACAACGTTTGTGTAGCTATATTATAGATGTAGCCCTATACTGCACAAAAAATAAGTAAAAACACAGTTGAGTAAATAACAAAAATAACACAACAGCAGCTCAGGAGAAGATTTAGTACAGGGTGAAAACACTGTGACTTCGAGGAAATAGAAAACTAATAAGATTTTACACGGCTAAATAAAACCTGAACATTTCATAAAAACACATTTCTGAAACAGAAAACAATAAACATCTCACAAGAGAAGAAATGTTGGTTTGTTGTGAGTTTAATTTTTACGCTTGTGGCATAACTCTGTGGCTGGCAATGTCGGTGTTTCACTTGATTAGTCCACCAATATTTTTCCAGACTGAAATATACTAATGTTCCCCTCAGGATGAATCCTACTGACTGTGGTGTTTCCCTGACTTTTCCGTGATTGTTAATTTTTTATTTTGACTGAAATGTCTCAACAATCATTGGATGGATTGCCATGAAATTTGTTACAAACATTTATGTTCCCCTCAGGATGAACTGCCTTAACTTTGGTGATAACCTCTAGTGCCGTCATCATCAGGTCAGACTTCTAATTTGTCACTTTGATTACTGACCACAAAAGCTCCCTATACTAAGTGACTAATGATAGTCGTTTAGTTCATCCATCCATCCATTTTCATCCGCTTATCTGGGGCCAGGTCTCAGGGGCAGCAGGCAAACCAAAGCAACCCAAATGTCTCCCCCCAGCAATGTTTTCCAGCTCCTCCTGGAGGACCCCAAGGCGTTCCCAGGCCAGATGAGATATGTAATGCCTCCAGTGTGTTCTGGGTCTGCCCTGGGGCTTCCTACCAGTGGGATGTGCCCTCTAACAGGAGGCATCCTGATCAGATGCCTGAACCACTTCAACTGACCCCTTTCAATGTGAAGGAGCAGTGGCTCTACTCCGAGCTCCCTCTGTATGTCCCAGCTCCTTACCCTATCTCTAAGGCTGAGCCCAGCCACCCCATGGAGGAAACCCATTTCAGCCGCCTGTATCCGTGATCTCATTCTTGCGGTCACTACCCAGAGCTCATGACCATAGGTGAGGGCTGGGACGTAGATGGACCAGTAAATCAAAAGCTTTGCCTTCCGGCTCAGCTCCCTCTTCACCACAACGGTCCGGCACTGCGCCCGCATCACTGCAGAAGCCGGACCAAACTGCTGATCCATCTCACGCTCCATTCTACCCTCACTCGTGAACAAGACCACAAGATACTTGAATTCCCACACTTGAGGCAGTAACTTTCTCCCAACCCAGAGGGGGCTATCCATTGGTTTCAAGCAGAGAGCCTTGGCCTCAGATTTGGAGGTGCTGATTCTCATCCTGACTGCTTCAAACCTGGCTACAAACCACCCCAGTGTTTGCTGGAGGTCATGGTGTGATGAAACCAACAGAACCACATCATCTGCAAAAAGCAGCAATGCAATTTGGAGGTCACCAAAAGTAAAGTTTAAAGGTTTTCTATCAAATGATTTCAGAGATATTCATATAATTAAAAGCCTGACTGTTTTTTTTTGTTTGTTTTAATAAAATGTTTTTGTTTTAATTATTTGTTTCACATATTTTATTGTAGTTTCAGGAAACGATTAGGTTGTTTTGTTGTTGTTTTTTTTGGCTTATTAATTTCATGGGTCACCTGCAGTTAATTCATTCATCCATTCATCTTCTAACTGCTTCATCCTCTTGAGGGTCACGGGGGGGCTGGAGCCTATCCCAGCTGACATCGGGCGAGAGGCAGGGTACACCCTGGACAGGTCGCCAGACTATCACAGGGCAGACACATAGAGACAGACAACCATTCACACTCACATTCACACCTATGGACAATTTAGAGTCACCAATTAACCTAGTCCTTAATCTGCATGTCTTTGGACTGTGGAAGGAAGCCGGAGTGCCCGGAGAGAACCCACGCTGACACGGGGAGAACATGCAAACTCCACACAGAAGGGCTCCCACACCCGGGATCGAACCGGCAACCCTCTTGCTGTGAGGTGAC